CTCCCGCACCTCAGACAATCAATTAGAAAATAACACTGCTGCTTGCATCAAGATTATCTGACCTTTTAATCACTTTAGCACGAACAGTGCGACAGAGTCTAATTGCCCACCCTCATACTGTAGCCTTGAGCGATCACATACATCATTAATTCCAACCCATCTCAATTGGATTTCAATCAACTACGCCTTCACTGTTGGGATCCGACTATGCAATGTATAGCAGATTTACCAAAACATGGTCTAATAGACTGTAGAGTCGAGAGAGTGGAAGACCGCGTCAACATGGGGAAGTAATGGTTTCGGCCGGCGAATTTCTTGAGCTTGATAGACAAATTGCTTCTGAAACAACTGTAAATTAGTTAATAGTCTGACTAGTTCCCAGGACCGGTTTGAGAAAGACGTCCGTTTCCAAATCACATCACCAACTTCTACAACCTTACCATCTCTCTTACAGTATTGCAACGACGGTTTATGGATGGACCCCACACAATCTTCCAAGAGGACGTCGGGTGACGTCGATGACACGGAAGCACGTCTGACTAAGAGATTAAAATTGCGAGGCACCATTACCGCCTTTAATCCCAACACCATAGCTGCATTCCGTCGACCGCTACTAATCAATCTTCCTCAACAGCCTAAGAAATCGGCTCAAGCCCTCAGGCTGATAGAAGTGCTTTTTATTGTTGAAGCCTCTCTGCGGAGCGCTTCGCTCAATAGCATCAGACCATGGTACACTCGACCAGGAACCGTTCAAACTAGGAACATACGTCACAGGTTTGATACAGTAGAGCATTCGACTTAATTAACCAAATCTGGATAATTCTACGGCGCCCAGCACAGCAAACAGGGGTGGATGCCTACTCCGTAAATGCAAGCCAACCAAGCCCCTAGTCCTTTACCAGACGGTAAACCCTTGCAAACCGAGTAGTGCCTTTGAACGTGATCGGCTCTCATGTCGACCACCGTTACAGCCTTGGATGACCGGTTTTGGGTAGGAACCGGGTGTTGCCCGCCGGCTGTATCAGAAGTACGGCAATGGCCGTGTGACAATATCTATTCCCACCCAATAAGCGGCAGATAATTAGAATCGTCGTCGGCATGGCACTCAATTGATTCGTGCTCAGTCATGGAGAATGCTAGTACACCTAGGGGAGGGAACGGACTGCTTGACGATGATGAAGTATCTAAAAAGCGGTCCAATATTAATTTATCTCTAGACTTTCTTTCCGATTGGCCGATGTCTCTCAAAAAGAAGGCTAAGTTAGAAAAGTAAACCAGTGATCGGACAGGCTCTCAATCCTCCATTCCATGGCATCAATAGTACTGTATCTTGGGCGCGTTGTACCACCACAGCCAGCCCAATGGCTGCGTGCTTGATTCATCACACGAGCTGAAGCCTCCCCCGGCAGGCTTTAGCTAGAGCGACGACCAAAATTCCTTACTAGACGGGAAGGAGCACTGGACTTGTGGGCGGAGTTCGACGATAACCGAGGGGATTGTAAGAAAATTCACGGCAAGAATGGCTCAGGGTGTTTGCGACCCAGAGCTCGCCGTCCTGGCAGGTGGCAACTGAGTTAGCTCCTGCGGGGCAAAATAGGTAGCATCTCTGTCATCCTCTAATTATACTCAGAAGAATGACCATAAATTGACCGCATTCCGCCAGTGCCGTACTCCCATACTGTACCTGTCACAAATGGGTCATTCTATCCGCAATGAATATAGTACTATGTAGAAAATCTTTGCACCTAGGTCGATATGAAAGCCGAGCACTGGTCGGAAGCATTGTCTGGTTATCGTTAATTTTTGATCGCCGGTACCGGGCCATGTCTTGTTGCCGACCAGCTATTCGTCAACCCTGATGAAGCCGGGAACTGGTGAAGGCGCGATCTGTGTGAGGCCAATGAGAGACTTCTCAGAAGATGACGACGCTGTGCAGTTGGCGCCACTCGCCTAGGAGGATCGTGTCTTCTACTTTCTATTCGGTTCGTTCTCATCTCCTCTCCCACTGGGCCGGACGGTTGTGACCCATTTCTCCCTTTATTTGTAGGGGGTCCGAATTTCTGTTCCCTCTTTTTCCGTCGAATTGTCGTTTGAACTTCAGCATTCAACGATCCAAAGGGGCCCGTAGGATCGCCTAGGACCGAATCAGACGGCACGAGTTCTCCCCTCAAACAGCTCTCCCTGCACCATGTTTCGAGGGACCAAAAAGCCCCTTCTTGGGTCCCTTCGAGCTTCGAGGCACTTTGCGACGTTCGCGGTCTCCTTCATGGTCTTCACGGTCAGAGACGCTGCCGGAGGAGGGGCGGGAGGGGGGGCGCAGGGCTAACATATTTGGACAGGACGTCTTCATCTACGCCATGCTCGTGCCGCTCTCACCCTTTTTCCTGACCACACGGCTGGGAGTGCCCGAAAATGACATTTCGTTCTGGTCCACCGTGCTCCTGGCGGCCTACGCCGGTGTCCTGCTCCTGGTCGCTCCCTTGTCCGGCATCTTGAGTGACCGCTTTCGAACTCGCCTGGGTCCCCTGCGACTCGCCATGCTGGTGCTGGCGGCGGCGATCGTCATGATCGCAACCGCCAAGTCTCTCGCCGTCCTGGTGGTGGGCCGGCTCGCACAGGGCTTTGCCGCCTCCATCATCTGGGTCGTCGGGCCGGCCCTGCTGGTCGAAGGGTCGTCGGGCCACGAGGCCGGCCGGGATATGGGCTACGTTTCCCTGGCTTGTGGCGCCGGACTACTCTCGCCGCTCTTTTCCGGGCCCCTCTACCACCGTGCGGGATATCTATCGGTCTTTGCCGTGGCGTTCGCATTGATCGGATGTGGCCTCATTGTCTGTCTCAGCCTGATCGACCGAGGCGCCCCGTCCCATTCGGACCTCGCCAGCAGCGCCGGCGGTAGCTCGGACCCGGACGTGGAACGAACGGCCGCGACCCCGACCGACGAGCACGAGCCACTGCGGTGGAGATCTCTGTCGGTGTGCACCGTCCTCTACGCCGTGGTGATGGGAAATGCCGTCTCGTTCGTGTGTGACATCATTGTGCCGGTCTACACCGTGCGGTTGTTCGGTTGGAACAGCTTGGGGACAGGCCTCGTGATGATCGCCCTTCGCGGTCCGACGATTTTACTGGGGCCCGGTGTGGGTGAGTTGGCCTCTCCTCTCATCGTGGTCGCGACGAACTAACCTGTCCCTCCAGGAAAGTTCTGTGATCGCTACGGTGCCCGGTGGCCCACGTCCATCGGGCTCGGGTGTTGCTGTGTGGGACTCATCTCGTGCCGTCTGGTCCAAAGGGGGCAGATGGGAGACAAAGTGGGACTGGTAGCCCTCTTGGCCCTGATTGGATGCGGCTTTTGCATAGCGGACACCGCGGTCATGGCGTTCTTCGCCAACAAGCGTGCCTCGGCGCTGGACTTTGCAATCTACAACATTTTCGTCATGGTGCCCGGCGTTGTGGGGCCCTTTGCCTTGGGGGACTACAAGAATCGAGGTGGATGGTCACAGGTGACCACTCTCCTGGGAGTGGGTTGCGGCATTGGCCTCATCCTGTGCGGGTTCTGTGGCGATTCGGCACCGGCGAAGCCTGCGCCAGACCCGGTCGACCCACCTGCGCCTGTTCGGGTACCGGGGCAAGGGATAGAAGATCAAGGCAGGAATTCAGTCTGACTGGATGATCGAGAAGGGTGGCCAGAGTGTCAACGGCTTTGTCGGGGCTTCGATGATTCAAAAAGCGATGCGTTTCCCGTTAGAAAAGGATTATTTCACGAGCTTTTTTTGTCACGGACCATCGTGACTACATCAGCTGAAGCTTCTCCCCGGTGTGCGTGATAGTTATCCCATCCACGTAGGGATGATATGCATCCAACTGCCGCTCTTGCACCGCTTGTGCAGCTGTAGTCCACCCTACTACTGGACCTGCGTCTCAAACATCGTTGCAATAACCACGGTAAGTCTCTTGCAGAGGAGTAGGTACCGTCCGTCTCGAAACCGGCTTCCCCTTTAGAACATATCAAGTCTTTCTCCAATGGAAAAACTAAGGACTGGAGCAGCCGCCTTTCCTAAAGAGACATAGCTTTGCGCACATGAACAGCCAATTATCGATAGGTAATATTGAGCTGTCGATATCCAATTACGTGGGCTTGTTCAAATAAATTCAGTCATGAAAGCCTTCAATACAATCCCATACCGTATTCAACGAGTGGTCTAAGGGCGGCACGGACTGGGTCACTTACTCGTACCATCGACAGGATGCAGCGCCACGTCACTCAGACCATCGGAAATAATGCAGTTAGAAGCAGGATAGAATATCGCAGGTGCAAGATCGAAGCCGTCACCATGACAGCTTTCCATCCTCGAACAGATTGACAGTTCATTCCAAACGTCAATGAGTCGATTAAGCTGCTTCTCCCACCCTCGAGACTCGAGGGCTGAAACGAAAAGGCTCGAGCTCCCTGTCTTGGCATAAGCACAAACAGTCACGTGGTATAGAACTGCAAGCAGCCGAGCGTGATAAAATTGTGCAACAACGCGCGTCGCGTCAAACTGGGAGAATATTTTTCTACCACTTACAGTATGTTCCTCCCGCACCACACCTCTATTACTCATCTCGAAATTCAAATCCAGATGCAGTAGACTAATCTCATTGCCGTCCGCGCATCAACACTGGCAGATCTACTACTTTAAATATCTGCAGTCCTATCAGCCACAACCTATCAACATCAGTGGTAAATCCTACCTCTTGTGCACCCAATACGCGAAGGAGGGTGCTCGGAGCGGACAGGTTCCCAGAGAGCGTGCCGATGGCTGACACAGCCGTAGTATCAGACTCTTCTGGAGTCGATGTATCGGGGCAAACCACTTACACAAACAACACTACAGGTCGCAACTTGATTACCAAGGCCCCAAACCCATTCCAGGCACAATACGACGAGCTCGAACGAGAAGAACTTGCCAATTCACGAGAAAGTGCAGAGACCTTGGAGAATATAAAGTCTGTAGTCAGATGGTTCGAAGCGCAGTTTGAGCGTGAGTCGATTACAGAAGGAGAAAAGGCTGGACACGCGCAATGGGAAAGACTTGTGGATCTACACGAGAAACGCAAAATTGTGGAAATGAAACATCAGGAGCACCGGGCAAGGCGATTGAAACTCGACGCCGATACCAAGGAATTCAGCTCCATGGTTAGCTCAGCAACTCACGTACTTACAGACGAGGGTCCAAAGACCGCCGCAGGCAGCTCTATACTCCCGTAGGAAGCTCATCTACCCTCGTCCAAATATCCTCACAGATTCGTGATCGTGGGAGATTGAGAAAGCAAGGACCTCGCGGTCCAGCTCCGGTTCGCAGGTAACCATTCGAAACAATATGACAATCACTCTCATTGCAAGCGTCCTACACTGCCGATCTGCCACGTCCAGCGCGGCGGCACCACACTCGATCTCACTGGCGAAGAAGGGGAAGTAGAGGTAGTAAGTGGCCATAAAGTAGGACGGTTCAGTGAGATCACCCACGAACGGCTGCAATTTCTGACACTGCTTCTCCGTGAACGCCTCACGACGGAATCCAACGGCGTAGTCTGGTTGGGGTCGAGTCTGAGTCAGTGCGATGCTGTTGTTCCTCCCTCGTTAACGCTCTCCATCAGACACGCCAGCTCGCTTGCGCCGTAAGTTGTCAAGATCTCTGCAGAGGGAATAAGTAGCTGCGAAATGTCGCGGATGACTTGGGTTTCGTTCCTATCTCTGAGTTTGCGGCAAGTTGCTTCGAAGATGTCGTCTCGAAATAGCGATTCCTGAGGTACTTGCTGCTGTTGCTTGAGAAGCTTGCGAACAAGCTCCTTGCTTCTTTCACTTATACCAAGCTCATGACTGCCTATGGAGCTACCTTTGGTAGCAAGTAGAATACTGTAGCAAGCGTCTTGTTACGGCAAGCTCTTCGCCTTGCGGGATTTCTGATCACTTAGAGTGGTAGAACTCTGATCGGACAGCTCGTTATCGGACCGCTTGCGTCGTAGAGAACCTGTCGACTTCTTGTGGGCCAGCAAACGGTCCATCACGGAAGGGGTGCCCATCGACTTCTTTGACCAGAGTTCTGGTGGCCAACTATTCCGAGTGTACCCAATATTAAATTAGATCGATGTGTTGGATGTTCAGCGACTCGTCTTGGGATAACCTAGAACGGATTGCCCGGCGACGTTTTAGATTGTCGCGATCATGACCTTCTCTTGCGCGTTTCTACCCTCTCGGTGAAGGTGTTGCAGAGTTTTGAACTGCGTCGCCTGCGGAGGCTCGTGACCCGAAATGGGGTAATTGTCTCTTGCGACTCCCAGCGGATTGTTGGTCTCGGAGTAGAGCTTCGTCTGGCTGCAGTAGACGGTTCAGACGCGGGTTTCGACCTGGAGTTGGAGGTACAGGAAGTTCTCGCAATTATACTAGCTACATTTTCGTTAACCATCAATCCACACCTTTAGCAGCAGAGGTCCAGGGATGAACACACCACGTTCTTGACGTCTGTTTGACGAAGCCCCTGGCAGTTGTCCGGTGCTTGGCCATCTTCAGACCAACGGATGCTATTCTAAACCTTTGCGAGTTGAGAAGGTAAGATACAATCTTAGCCTGAACGCTGAAAGGGCAGAAAAAGAGATGCGATCTCGAGGTGTTTTCTATTTCTTGCTTAATGTGTTTAGCATTCGAAAGAACCGATATAGCTCTAGCAACCCACTCTTCCCCGGAGTAAGGCTACGGCTTGTTGATCTTCCGAAAATCGGCAGGTTAAATTACTTTTGCTTGGTGGCAGCCTGCCAAGAACGTCCATTCAGTACTTCCATGCACTACTTCCATGCATTTCTCTTCAATCTTGGCAGCAGCTGTAATTTTACCGCTGATGACACCGACTCCAATACTTGTTCGGTATCAGTACCGTATCTGATGGCTTTGGTAAGCACCTTTCGAATTCCAGTACACAAGGCTATAGCACGGCCAGCGATCAACATCATCGAAAACATGGGCTTGTCGATCGAACAGGATAAATCGTATGCAAATTAGGTCACAAGAAGGTCTTCCGGGTAAGTTAGGGCCAATGCTCAGGCGCCACAGCGATCGAGAACGAAGATCAGCCGCTAATGCAGGAACCAATGCACCCTGCGGCATAAGCAGCCCATGCGCCACACCTCAGGTAATTTTTGACTGTGCAGGTCCGGCAGGGTCTTGGAACGAGCTACGAATGATGTTCAGCAATTGAAGACCCTGCTTCTTATGATGTTGTTGAGCTGTCGCAGCTGTAAGTCATTGTATCGGGGATTTTTTCTGTTCATGGGTATTTTCGTGGTGGGACGGGCTACGTTAGAGTTCCGCCGGAAATTGGCGAAAAGGCGGGTCGCCCCGTAGTGCTCCGCAGAGTTATCTCGAGATACTGTCGTTGAAGTGTCTGCGCTAGCACCAGTGCGATAGACGTCGCCTAGTCTTGTGCAGAACAGAGCTATACCCAATGGCGCCAATCCTGTAGCCTCACACTACGCTTTCAGACCGCTCTCAGCCAGGCCATGCTTATAATTGGGCAACTCAAATCTTCTTCCACGCCCTTACTTGGCGACGACTGCCGGGTTCTCTCGGTAGTCGCCATCGGCCCACGTGATTGCCAAGCTAGTCTCTACTTTTGGGTGCGGGGAGTCTAAAACTACCCCAGCCACCCCGACATGGACATCATCTTGACTACAAAAGGGAACACTGGCGGCATGGAATCATCTCATTCTGTCACTGAGACTATCGCTCTTCGCATTCCTGGTGACGGATCTGACGCCGAGCTGGTCTCGGTCAGCATTAAACCTAGACCAGACGATGATGGGAATGCAGATTTCTTCGATGACGTCCCTGATCTCAGCCCATGGCTAGGGAGTGCATTTACACAACGTCGTGTATCTGATTTCTACGTCAGAAACACTGAAGAATCAGACCCGCAATTTCCAGCATTCCTCAGAGATAATGACACGGAACTTCACGGAAAATACGTCATGTACTACACGATCCTCCCTTCGCTCCCAATCAATAAACGCTGTGTGAAATATATCGGGTTCGAGCCTCAGGAAGATCGACTGTTCTGGAGAGGTGACCTATTCGTTGTTCGATATAAAGGGGAGCTGGGTATGGAACACGAATATTTGGATGTACCCTTGAGGCTTGAACGAATCATCGAGGATAGTATAAAAAGTGCATACCAGCGGCGTGCGCTAGAAAATGTAGTTGAGTTTGATAGAAAGGTCTACGACGGGATGCAGAAAATGGTGAGTACCATATTGTCGCTGTCGATAACTCCAACCGACAAAGTTCTGGGTTAGAAACATCCGTGGGATGAAGCCGTTGAGACTGGAGCTCTCGCACGCTTTCAAACTGGGCAACCTATGAGCGATGGCGATGTCCGTGTGATGGGACCGATATTACGTAGTTTGGGGTTGGCCAGCGACAAATAGTCCACTATGCACCAACGGGCATAATTCGAAAGGGGACCTGAGATGGATGTTAAACTTATAGCCTTGCTTTTCTTGACAACAAATGCTGAGCTTTACAGAGGAGATGACATCAGTCACTTTGCGAGTGCAGATACATAAAGGTTAAAGTACAGCACAGTGCACTTACACTGGCGGTTAGGGGCTCACGTACCAGAATCTTCTTCTCAGGCTGAAGGTGGACGTTGCGTAAGAACTAATATGCGCGAACCTGGCCGTTCCACCAACCGTGTAATCTCAGATCGACGAGCTGTCCTAATCTAGTAGAGCCGTCGGCCCTTATGTCGTGTTCGTCGAGGTCCTCCAGAATCCTATCTATGTAACGGCCAGCTGCACTCATATGAAGTATATGCGCAATGGCGCTGTGAACAGCAAGTAATCGCGGAGAGGGGGGATCAATTGTTCTAGTGCTGGTGACAAAAAGCGTCCTTTTGACGGGAAATATTGGTGGCCGTAAAATATCCGAGGTTGTCGAATCGATCAGGTATGTATGCTCTTCACCACCTGAAGGCTCAAAATAAATTTCAAAATTGCCGAAAAGTTGATGAAGATCATGGGTCAAGGTGATAGCATTGCGTGAGCGATCGATGTCAGTACTCTCAATCAAATGTGCTACACCGTCGTCGAACATGTTTAATATTGCGAGGGCGGTTTGCTTCGATTCAGCCTAATACGAGAATAAGTCATAGACTGAGGAAGGTATTTTGGCCATTGATAGATAAGGTGACGCACCAGTTCTTGCATTCCGGTTCCGATACTCATCAACGAGTGAGGGATGATATGCGCGACCTCCAGTGGTGCAAATATTCCCATTTCATCTTTCAAGAACTTCCCGTCGTCGTCCTGCGCTGCCTCTTTACCATCACGGTCAACCCGTGCTTTTGCTTCCACGTAGTCGAATATACGTGATATCACACACCGATACCGATCACGGACCAGACATTCTCTTCTCAACTTTGCCACTCGCTGGGTAGTGCCCGTACGTGATGATGTATTCTGGAGTTCTGACAGTGCAGCAGGAGAAGGCTGAGGAGTCTTTCTTGTCGAAGCTTTCACTACACAGCCGAAATTTTAGTAAATGGTCATCAGCACGAATGCTAAACATCCATCTTACAAGGCAGGAAGAATTTCTCGACCAAGAGGTCTGCAAACGAGTTTAAGAGCGCGTGACAATCACGGGCGCGGGAGATTTCCCACTTCGACAGTTCGATAGGAATATGTATGTGCCGAAAGAAGAAACGAAGGAAATTATCTCTCGATGCTTCTGAGCGTGAATACTCAAAAGTAAGGTGAACGAGTGTGACTGGCTTAAAGGCAGTTTTATTGTCCTGCTGAAGAGGTTCGCAAACTTTGATAATATCGTGGAAAATTTGTGTTGCTTCATCTCGTTTTTCAACACTTAGGCGTTGTGTGTGTGCAAAAAAGTCTATTACTCCTTCAAGCGATGTTGGATGGCGACTATGAGACGAAGTTGACATCTTTGGCCGGGAAGTCTGAAGGTTCCTGCGCGTTCGAGATCAGATACTGGGATTTCCTCATTTGGTCTGGGCAACTCTGAGGAGGACTTTGCGCCAAGGCATATCACGTGGAAAAGTCTAGCCAAGTGTCACTTAGTTAGTTCCTGAAGGGTAGGGAAGGGAAGGTCAAGCGAGGGCCAATGTGGGTGCGGGCCGTTTTGCCCCACAGATCATCTAGAAGTGCTGTTCTCTCAACACCGTCCGCCAGCACGGTGTCGCTACATTTCAGCAGATGTTGGCGGACGCAGGAACAGAAACACATAGCCTCATCCTCATGGCGCCGAACCTAGCCGCCTCACAGCACGGTCTCAGCCAGGCTATGCTTGCAGTTGGACGACTCAAACCCCGTGAAATCGCTGAAAGAGTTGAAGCTCTGAAGTGAGTGTACAAGTGTGATACACCTAGGAACTATCTATGAGGGCAGGAAGGTGATTTATAGGCGTAGTCAGTGCACCAGGGTACTGGCTAGTGCAGCAACTGCCTGGTAGGCAGTTGCCACTAGCAGTGTTGCCTATAGTGAGCATCACGTGACCTAGGATCCAACTGAAAGTATTCCGTGCACTACCCGAACCGTCGAGACGCACCGCGCTAACCGTCGTCGATTTGGCACCACTACTGCACCCCGCAATCGTGGCGGACGTCGACGATCGATTACCCCTTACATGCGCGAACTCCTCGATGAGCAGAATGATCTATACCTTGATGAGATAGCTGATTTCTTACTAGTAGAGTACGAAAATCCGGTTCACTTCCAACTATCAGCAGGGCTTTGAAGTTAAGTGGCCTATCCAAGAAAGTCCCACGTCGAAGAGCCGGTGAACAATGCCAAGATCTAAGAGATGCCTACCAATACAAGCTCCGTGGGATTACGACAATTTTAAAATTTAGACGGCGATCTAGATTGCCGCCTACTTGTATATGAATTAAATATTGGCTACCCTATTGATATTTGTGGCCAATGAATCCCCTCTACGATGGAGGCCCAGCAGCTCGTAGATCGAATGAAACCATGAAGAGTAGTTGGAGAAATGTGAATGTGGCTACATAAAATCAAGATTTAGCCACGGACAAGTCGAGCGTAATCTATTGCTGCGCTAAATAATTAAACCCGCCATCCTCTTTGAGACAAGCGAAAGTTTCCCAGTACCATTACTTACAGCAAACGTTGTAACAAAACTTTCTGCTGATTGGTAGCCCACTCGAGGGAGGCTTATCTATACATAGCTAGCTTAAACTCAGTGGGAGTTAAAAGTAGTCCCTAATAATTTGGAGTGTGTCCGGAATGCGAAGGGGGAATGCGAAGGAAAGACTTGGATAGTATGGCAGCAGCACCAGGAGTACCATCGAGAGTAACATCAAACCGTTTTGCGCCTTTATCATCGCCAAAGTCATCAACAACAAGCAGCCGAGGCAACTCACGGACGCGTTCTGACGCGTCTCCGCGACCGCGAAGCGCGTCACCAACAACATCTCAATCTACAGAATACTACGGCATCGTGGAACGCCTCGAAACTTATCCCTCAACATGGGCACACACAAAGCTACCTCCACAGCAGCTCGCAACTTGTGGCTTTTCGTATAAGGAAAGTAGGCATGACACCTGCATCTGCCACGTTTGCGGCGAGGCCTTGAGAGTACGAAGGGCGGTGACCACCGAAGAATGGACTAATGAAGAGGTCCTCTCCATTCACGCAGAGGACTGTGTCCTCGCAGATATAATATACGACCTGATCTACAACGCCAGTTACATTTACACAGTACCCAGTCCCTCCCGCCCGCAGATGCCAGAGGTAATGCCACCTACATCGTCATGTACGAGCCCGCCCGGAGAACTACCGTCAACAAAACCTACTGCTGCCACTCCCATTCTTTCCACCTGCACTGAAAATCCCGCCCAAAAGCCGACCTCCTCGCCTCCCTCCCCCTCTCCTAGCCGCCTCTCCTACGCAAACCATCGTATCGCGCCAATGCCCGATATCACCATCTACGCCATCAAAGCCTCGTCAACCTTACGCCGCGACATCACCGACGCCGACAACGAAAGCTACAACGACCTCCTCCCAACGTAAATCTTCGCATGCAGCTTTCCATACCGTAACCGATCCGATCACGCCAACATGTACGTCTACACGACGCCGCCCAACACCCTCATCATCGCCCGTTCTCTCGATACACGACCTCGAGCGCCGCTTCCGCCACACCAGCTTCCCTCACAGACTCGGACCGAATCAGACGGTCAAGCAGCAACCTAGCACGATTCTTCCACAGCTACTCTACACAATAGCCAACCTCCTGGAGAGCTGCATCTCCAGCAACCATCAAAACACTTATCAACATTACCGACCCGCGATATTTAATTTCGATACCGTACAAAGAGGCCCGTGTTAGCCGTGCAGTATAGTGCAGGATGAAATTCCGGCTACGATCTTATGGAAAAGCGAGGGTAACCAAGACCGTGGTCAGATTACGCAGGGGCAAGGGGGAGAATTGGAAATGGGATATCGAATTGCAGTAAAAGCAGATGCGAGTCTGAGTCGTGACATACGCTTGGTGGAGGGGGCTGGTAAGTAAAGGTAGGTAGTGTGCTTGGTGTGGGCTGTCGAATGAGTGCATGAACCCAAAACGACAGAAGGAAACTTAATTAGAGGATCTAGCTAGTAGTGGGGCTACATAGACATCTGTTCTGCACAGCCAATGGAATAAACTACAACTACAACTACTACAACTACGGAATGCGAAGGCGCAATTGAAAACGCCTGTACAATCATCTCTACGTTACTTCGCGACCTTTGAAGGACGCCTACGGGATAAAATCGATCACTTTTCTCACTCTGGACTCCTTTTGGAGTGTAGAGACCCTTTGACTGGGGAAGTCACCGACAGGGCCATACTTGAGTACCTTCACGATGAGGTCAGAAATGGCGAACTTGTGCGTGTAATTGGTAAGCCCTTACCCGTCTTCTCCGTCGTGCCAACTAACTAGGCGTGCCACAAGACAGTAGCTTGTTCGGATGTTAGATCATGGCTAAATTACCTGTGTAACTCTAGACTTTACGAAGGTCGATCCCTCTATTTCAACATATCCGCCGCCTGAATGGGACAAGAGATTGTACGAAACCTTCAAGTGGAAAGAATACGTCTGGACCAAGCAACTCATAGGCGACGACTTGCCAAAAGAATATACTTTGAGAGACTGGGAACGCTTGGTGCAGAAACAGGTGAAAAATCAGCCTCCATACGACGTGCGTGAATATGTTTGTCATGACTTACAGGAAGGTATCCGAAGGGATATTGGGCTTCGAGTTCCACCAGACACCATCCGTACAACACTCTTCAGGAAATTCGGACGTCCAATAGTGGGAACATTGATCAAATCGTCGAACGCATCAGCACCAGAAGAGTATTCGCTCGGGACGACCGACATCCCTGTCCCGGAATTCACCACCACACCTGATCCGCTTTTCAAACCGTTTGCAAACACAAGACCATCTCTGTTCGATGACCCTAGGTATGTCACATTCTCCTTTGCCCTCGGTTCCCCTATCTTTGACTTGAAAATTTTCGGGCATCCGCTTAATTGATACTTGCAATCAGGTTCAAACTCACGCCCACTAGCATTTTTTCTCCAGACTATCCTCACCCTGAGCATTTCAAGGATGCATGGCAAACTGGGCTTCAGCGTGCAAACATCAAATCGCCTGGCGACTTGGTTGTCGCCGTCGGTACGATGTATGCAGGTGCAGCGCTGAGTGCTATGACAAGTGGCGCCGTATCACTTGCGCCTGGAGCCGGAGGAGGGATTACGTTGGCAATAAACCTGTGCAATCCAGTTGGACAGGCTGGACTAGCTGGGATTGCGGTCGTAGCTGGATGCTCGGCATTATATCAGCGGCGTCAAAATCGGTGAGCTCCTCAGAAAGCGATGGAGTTTAGAGTCGCCACACTGACACTGGAGCAGACTGCGGCGAGAAGCCGCCTTGCACGTCCAGCGGATGATAGATAACATGGAACCGGCGCGTCTTCCGCAATGCAAAGGTCAGATTTGGATTTTCGTGGCCGATGAACACGGCACGATCACCATCTTTCAGGGCTACTCGGCGCCTCCCATTTCCGTGGCTGGTGAACATGGCACAACCACTATTCCCCTGGAGCATGTTTTCCAACCGCACCAGACTCCTTGAGAGCAATGTCTGGTCACCTGGCCATCCTCCGAAAAGTTCTCATGATTTTCCATAAAACGACTGGATGACCCCTCTTTTGTCTGGACGTTCTCTAACTGTAGTGCACGAGATACAGAAAGTCACGGTTGATATGGACAGCGTTTAGTAATATCGATCTCTATCTACTTCCAGGGCGGATGGGAATGGGCACGCCAGTCAAGACCCAGAGTTTGAAAATTCATCAATTTTTTCCTTCGACATCGGAAGTTGGGGTTCGATCTTCAGCCTCTCAGTCTGACAGCGGCAAAGCCTCTCGGAGTCCTTGTAAAGAGGTGAAGGTAGCGTCCTCCACCGTCTCATTCGCATTGTTTCGGAGTCGTTGAACTATGCTCACAAACCGAGTGTACGCAGTCCGTTCCTGCCAGTCGTCAGATAGTGCACAGTAATATGCTTACCGACAAAACTGCAACTTACTTCATCGCTTTTCTTTTCGGCGGCCTCGGCCCAAAGCTGCTTCATTTCGGGGGTCGCATTATCCGCTAGAAACACTCCTTTGAATCTGTCATCAAGGTGAGGATCTAGTCTTCCGCTGGAGAGCAGACAGGGAGGGTTGCGGCTGGCTGCCCAAACGGCGTCGCGAAGCTTATACTCTCCATTCCCCACAATGACCCGTCCTGCCAGAAGGTTAACAGCTTGCAGAATATTGAACCTGATGATAGCTTGGCGTAGCTGAGCAACCTCAGGACCTAACCCTTCTGCAAACTTCAAGGCGTACATCGGATGTAAACCGTTGACAACGAGGACCTGCTTCACATTTCGAAGTTTGTGAAGAGAGATTCGCCCGCTAGCTTGAATGGAAGATGACATGCGTCGCGCAAATCCATGAAGAACAGATGCGGTGGCAGTTTGGCACACAACGAGGACGTCAGGTTGCAGAATCTCGACCATTTCTTCGGTGGCATCATAGGACAAGGAATCATTTTCTGCTCGCACCGAGTCTAAGATGTCTGAATTGCGGAGCCGAGAGCTGCGAAATGATCTCATGTCCACAATACAGGTGTTTTCCCAGTTCCGTGTTCCACTGGCTTCTAGAAGCTGTCGGCTGAGAAATTCAATGGTAGGAGGAAGACCTCCTAGTTCTGTGTGATCCATCACATCTTCATAGTCTGCGGGCTCCTGTGTGAGTATCGCAAGGTCACGGTGTCCCTTGGCAAGCCCAAGTGCATTGCATCGTGCCACTTTAGTGGCTTTGAGGTTCATGGCAAGCCCTTTTAGGGCAGTACAGTGTCCATCAAAAGATCTCAGCAGTGGGTTTGTACGCCAGTCTGAGGTTCTGTAGGTTCGGTTCGAGATCATCCAGGTTTGACCAGTCGAAATTGATATTTTCTACTTGCTTCTTCGTGATCCATATCGCGTGCTAGATAGTTCGATGTCTCCAGAGCTTCAAAAGGTAAGTTACTTCCATGATTGATGGCAGACGCACTTGCCAAAGTGTAGACGTGGTAGTCACGTGCTTGCACCGTCCGTCCTCTTTGGGTGCCCCCGAGCGCAGTCATCTTCCAAAACACGCACTGCCTTGCAGGCTGCGTTCCAGTATGGCTGCCAATTTTCCTGATCGCTTCTTTTGGTCCCCTGGGCGTAGACGGAGGTGCCCTATCGTATTCCGTGTCGAGGCCGAATTCGCGAATGAATCCTTTTCTACACCTGGTTTCGATGGCCAACAGAATCTGAGGTCCCGCGGGCCACAAGTACCACCGACAATATACGCAGCTATGCTACACTTGGTTGTACTGGCATATGATGCATCCGAAATGACGAACTTAATTGATGCTCAAGAGCTAGCATCTCACCTCAATCTAAGGAAGTTGCATGTCTATGATCACGAAGTCTTAGCAGTATCTAAGATCGCCGCCGATGAGTACAGCCTCCTCGCTGTAATGCGGACCACAAGTGGCTGGGAAGTCGAGGTATCCAGTCCACTGGGGCCAATCACCCTACCTCAAGAATATTGGACTCAATACAGTACTGCTTTTCAAGAAACCTGCTGGAAGCATTGCGGCTTGAAGTATACTGTCATACCGGGTGGACCCTTGACCGACGATTGAAATGGTTGGTTCGGGCTTTGAAAACATGAGGGTGCATGTACCGGGACGTCTGTGCACCGCTGCCGGAATCTTGCAGAAGGTTGCGTCAAAAACATAACGTAGAGTACATCTCCACCTAACGTGTGCCGATTAAGCTTTGAGCAATTCTCATGTGGAACGTGCTGGGTCTCTGTTGAACCATAGTCATCCCTGAGACATCTACAACAATGCTCGGGTGAAACACGGGCTGGCGGCCTGATGATCAGCCTTGCAGGACGCCACGCTTCTGCAGCCGCACTTTAAATGAAACAGTCCTTCAAAGCTCTCAAAACTTTCAAATCCTATTCCTTGGTTACATGATGAAGACTGGTATGGCTCAAGCATATTTCGGCTTACTATCGCTTCGTAGCATCTGCAGCCATCTTGTCGCTGCTCCTTTCCAAAGCTCTCATCACGAAGATGCTGGGCCTGTCCACGACACAAATCTTTAGGGGTCCTGCCTTTCAATGCTGTTCCAGAACTTCAACAACAGCTCGAAGAACGTACTTGCGATGATCGTTATCAGTTTGCATCCATGCAACTGCTCGGACTTACCCTCCCCGTTACCCATATCGACGGCATCCAGGGCCGAGCTTCTGCCATGACAAGAGGAGATATAACAATATAATGTTGGAGGCGTCAGTTTGCTTGCTTACGCGATTGCGTTGTTATCACTCTTTGTCTGAGCAGCTTTGTTCGAGCTTGCGATAATCGAACGCGAAATTTGAAAGAGCATGGATAAATATGACTCAACGAAAGGGATTATGGCTGTCTGCCAGACACGAAGAGAATGAAGGACCCCACACATTAGATGCAGCAAGAAGTGGAGCACCACAGCTACTATATAGTATCCTAGAATGAGAGATAAACACGAGGGAACACTGCAGCTCTGAAAGTGAAGCATGGACGATTGTGGTGAGTACTATCCAGTTCAGAATATTGACTGCGGATGATGGAAGGTTCGGGATCCCCGACTGACCTCGCACCCTACCCCTTCACCGAAATGGCCCAATAAGTCTACAGTCCAGCAACGCACATCGACTGCAAATGGCGCCGAACCTGAGGCCCGCGACCCGGATCCTCATCCAAGATATGCTTGAAGATGGAGGTTTCACGAACGCACAAATTGCGAAGGCTGCTTTCTGCACCGAGCGCTCGGTCAAAGCCATTGACCGCAACCGTCGTTTCTTTGGCAGCGCCACTGCACCTCCTAAGAAGTGCTCTCCACATCGGTTCTTGGAGAAACATGAAGAGAGTTTAAAAAAGGGAAGCCGGTATCGAGAATGGCTGTAGCAACGGGCTACGTGAATCTGAGGCCCAGGGAGCGACAATCGGGGAGCTGGCGCAAGTCTCCAAGTAGCTTGGATGTAAGATGCCGAGCGAAGAGCGTGAGGAGATCCCAAAGGGCAGTTTCTGCTCGATGATGCGGTACCAACATAAGAATTCTCGTATCGCAGAGTAATGTACAGTATAAACGTGTCCTGGTCGACAAGAATACTGTAGCTTTACGTATCTAGATACAGTGTCTAGAAGTGCGCGTCTGACCCGGGTCACGAAAACGTAAAAATGTGTACGTAAATTAGAACCTGAAGACGCAAGTGCAACAGCTGTAAGGTAGCGACGTGATTGACCGCGCAGACGATGCGTCTGTCTCGATGGTGCAGTCACCGTGCTTCTCTATGTAGATTACCTCGCAGGAAGCCCCACGTCACCCCGATGGGTGCCATCAGAATCGGCGAACAAGTCTACTTACTGTACCACCAAAGGGA